AAACAGCTTTATATTGGCATAAAAACAGAGATATCAACCAATGAAATCGAATCAAAGACCCGGATATTAACCCAAAAACCTATGAACACCTGATTTTCGACAAAGGAGCTAAAAGTATACAATGAAAGAAAGAAAGCATCTTCAACAAATGGTGCTGGCAGAACTGGATATTAACCTGTAGAAGAATGAAAACAGATCCATATCTATCACCATGCACAAAACTCAAGTCCAAATGGATTAATAACCTGAAAATAAACCCAACCACACTGAACCTGATATAAGAGAATGTGGGAAGTAGACTGCAATACATGAGCACAGGAGACCACTTCCTACATAGAACCCCAGTAGCACAGACAATAGGAGCAACAGTGAATAAATGGGACCTACTGAAACTGAGAAGCTTCTGTAAAGCAAAGGACATTGTCATTAAGAAAAAAAAAGGCATCCTACTGAATGGGAGAAGATCTTCACCAACTCCGCATCAAAGATCTGATCTTCAAAATATATAAAGAACTCAAGAAACTGGACATGAAAAGTCTAAGTAATCCAATTTAAAAATGGGGTACTGAACTGAACAGAGAATTCTCATCAGACGAAGTTTAAATGGTTAAAAGACACTTAAGGTCATGTTCAATCTCCTTAGTGGTCAGGGAAATGCAAATCAAAACAACCTTGAAATACCATCTTACACCTATCAGAATGGCTAAAATCTAAAACACCAATGATAGCCTATGCTGGAGAGGATGTGGAGTAAGGGGAACACTCATTCATTGCTGGTGGGAATGCAAACTTGTGCAACCACTTTGGAAATCAGTGTGGCAGTTTCTCAGGAAATTGAGAATCAATCTACCTCAGGATCCAGCCATACCACTCTTGGGAATATACCCAAGATATGCCCAATCATACTACAAAAGCATTTGTTCAACTATGTTCATAGCAGCATTATTTGTAATAGCCAGAACCTGGAAACAACCCAGATGCCCCTCAATGGAAGAATGGATAAAGACAGTGTGGAATATATATGCATTAGAGTACTACTCGGCGATAAAAAAATGACGTTTTGAATTTTGCATGCAAATGGATTGAAATAGGAAACACTATCCTGAGTGAGATAACCCAGACCCAAAATGATGAATATGATATGTACTCACTCATTAGTGGACTCTAGCCATAAACAAAGGACATTAAGCCTATAGTTCACCAGCCTAGAGAAGCCTAATAACAAGGTGAACACAAAGAAAAACATATATAGATCCTCCTGGAAATTGGAAGGAAACAAGATTGTCAGGAAAAAGTAGGGAACATGGGGGTGGGGGGTAAGGATGGGGATGGGGGAAGGGGAGAGGAGGAAAGAGAAGGAAGAAAGGAAAGACTGAATAGAGCTTGGGGGAGTGGGAGGGTGGAGATGAAGGAAGGGTGGATATAGGAGCATGGAAGAAGATATCTACATTAAGAGAGCCATTTTTGTATTGGCAAGAGACTTGGCTCTAGAGGGGATCTCACGTGTCCACAGGGTTGTCCCCAGCTAGGTCCTTGAGCAGCAGGAAAAAGGGTGCCTGAACTGTCCTTGCCCCATTATCACACTGATGATTATCTCAAATATCACAATAGAATCTTCATCTGGCGAAGGATGGAGATAGAGACAGAGACCCTCATCAGGGCAAAGGACTGAGCTCTCAAGGTCCAGTTGAAGAGCAGAAGGAGGGAGAATATGAGTAAGGAAGTCTGGACTGAGAGGGGTTGGTCCACCCACTGAGACAGTGTGCCTGTTCTAATGGGAGCTCATCAAATCCAGCTGGACTGGGACTGAATGAGCATGTGATCAAACTAGACTCTCTGATCGTGGCTGACAATGGGGGCTGTCTGAGAAGCCATTGACAAAGGCACTGGGACTTGTTCCTACTGCATGTACTGGATTTTTGGGACCCTAGTCTATTAGGATGCTAAGCTTCCTAAGCCTGGATGTAGCAGGGAGGGCCTTGGACTTCCCACAGGGCAGGGTTCCCTGCCCTCTCTTAAGGAGGGAGGGGAGGGAGGAGGGTAAGTGGGGGAGCAGGAGGGGAATATGAGGAGGGGAGGAAGTGCAAATTTTTGAATTGAAAAAAAAAGAATTCACAGAAACTGTACTCTCCATTCTCATACCCAAGAGCTCCTGGCTCCACAAAATTAGCAGGTTTTTAGCACAGGACTTCCCCAGGCAAACTTAGTGATTGGCCAAGAGGATGAAGTGTCCCATGAGAAAGGTGAGACCACACAAGGGTCTGTGCTGAGTAAAGGTATATTCCAGAGGTCACAGTCGGAAGTCTTGCTGCCCCATTGTTATCTCAACTGGCTTTCGGTTTCCATCCCTTCACAGGCAGTCCCCACCAGCACCTACGCATTGTTAGTTTCTACTCAAAACACTATTGCCTTTCTGTCCTTAAAAGCAGAGGTCCAGAAGTCAGTATATCTCCCAATTATCACCTCTTGTTTTCCTTGACTCCACTCTAGGCCCCCATCTATCCTCTGAGGCCAGATTTTGCAATGACAGCAGTCAACTCCATATTGTAAAATCTAGCAACCCAATGTACAACCCTCAGAAGATTAAAGCGTCATTTCATACTTTTCCTAAGATTCAATCAAGCATCTGCAGGGACCTCTTCCTGTCAACTCCCTAACTCCTAAGCTGGGTTCTATTTGTCTGGCCTCCTAACATTAAAATGGATCATCTCTCAGTAGGATTAATCCCAGCACTCAGGAGGCAGGATCATCTCTCATCCCACCCTCCCCACAAGGTAAATGCCAGAGGGAAGGGATATTCTGTATTATCTCCACTTCTTACTCCCCATTCATATTTATTCTCAACAGAACTTTGTTCCACGAATTACATACTATACAAAACACCTGATACTGGAAGCCTCAACAAATTGCCTGTGCAAAACACTCCTTCAGTTAGCAGGCAAGCAAACCACCTTTGCTTTTGACACTCAACATAATCCAAGTAAGCTGGACAAATGACCTTCCTTTGTTTATTCACTTCTACTGAGTGCTAGTTATAGCACCCTTACACTAAATGTTCAGTGATTGGGGACCCATAGCATAAATGATCCTTGGCATCACAAACATGACTATCAAGTTAGGATTCTCTAAAACGTATTATTTAGGACTTGGTTACAACAGTTGCCTTTTTTCGTAGTTGGTTTATTTTTGTTTGGTTGATAGTTTTATATGTTTATATGATGGATTTTAGTCATTTTTCATACACACACACACACACGCACGCACACACACCATCCCTCTCATCTCCCTCTGGATATCTTCTCAACATGCTCTTCTTTTTGGGTGTTGCTCATTGAGTTTAGTTAGAGTTTCCTGTTCCGGGGCTGGTGACAGATTGGTGCATGATGTGGGAGTGTCATATATCAATCTGTTGATTTCATTGGCTAAGTAATAAATAAACTGCTTGGGCTCATAGCTTAGAACATAGGTGGGTGGAGTAAACAGAACAGAATGCTGAGAGGAAGAGGAAGTGAGCTCAGACTCGACAGCTCTGCTGTCTGGAGCAGAGACGCCATCCTCTCCTCTCCTGGGCAGACACACGTGATGAAGCTCCTACCCAGGATGGACGTAGGCTAGAATCTTCCCAGTAAGCGCACCTTGGGGTGCTACACACAGATGATTAGAAATGGGCTAAATTAATTTGTGAGAATTAGCCTAGAAGAGGGTAGATAGAAATAGGCCAAGCAGAGACAGTGGAGCTGATCTACGGGGAGCTCACCAAGGCCAGCTGGACTGTGACCGAAAAAGCATGGGATAAAACCGGACTCTCTGAACATGGCGAACAAAGAGGGCTGATGAGACACCAAGGACAATGGCAGGGGGTTTTGATCCTACTTAATGTGCTGGCTTTGTGGGAGCCTAGCCAGTTTGGATGTTCACCTTCCTAGATATGGATGGAGGGGGGAGGACCTAGGACTTAACACAGGGCAGGGAACCCGGACTGCTCTGTGGACTGGAGAGGGAGGGGGAGAGGAGTGGGGGGAGGGGGAGAAGGGTGGGAGGAGGGGGAGAAGGGTGGGAGGAGGGGGAGAAGGGTGGGAGGAGGGGAAGGGAAATGGGAGGCTGGGAGGAGGTGGAAACTTGTTTTTTGTTTATGTTTTTTTTTCTTCTTTTCGCAATAAAAAAAAAGAAAAAAAAAGAAATAGGCCAAGCAGCCGGGTGGTGGTGGCGCACGCCTTTAATCCCAGCACTTGGGAGGCAGAGGCAGGTGGATCTCTGTGAGTTCGAGACCAGCCTGGTCTACAAGAGCTAGTTCCAGGACAGGCTCCAAAACCACAGAGAAACCCTGTCTCGAAAAACAAAAAAAAAGAAAAGAAAAAAAAAGAAATGGGCCAAGTAGTGTTTAAAAGAATACAGTGTCCGTGTAATTATTTCAGGGCATAAGCTTAAGCTAGCTATGTGGGCAGCCGGGTGCTGGGGACGCAGCCCCGCCGCTCTTATTACTACTACAGGTGCAATCTAGTTTCTGAACCTGGGAAGTACACAGAACAATTGTGACCTCGACTTTGCAGAAAGACAAAGGACCAGAGAAGATATATTGGCCCAAGCACCACCAGATCTGTGGTTCCAATAGCACTCTTCCTTCTAGAGTCAAGAATCTAGACTTTGAGGACACTCAAAATAGAAGGACTTGCTTCTGTCAATCTACTAGAAAACAGTGGGAGTCATTTGCTTGGTGGGAACGTCTTTGGAGCAGGGAACCAACCTGTAGTTGGGCTCAGACATTCTTCAGTTTAATGGATAGTGTTCACCACGGGTGAGTAATGGGTGTCTGCACTAGACTCTCGCCAGTTGGCCCCATTCCCTAAACCCATCTGTACCTCCGGGCCTGAAGGCTGGGTGGAACCTCCGGGGGCCTGCAGAACTAGCGTCTGCGTGGCCCTCCTCGCGTGGCGCCCTTCACGGTTGCTCTGGGACACAACCGCTGCAACGTTGGATCCACAAGAGGTAATGAGGGACACATGGAGGTGGCAGCACCCCTGAGGCAGGTGCTGCCCGCAGAAATCCCAGAACAGGAAGATCTAGACCTAAAGGAAACTCCCGAAGGACTGCCCCCTTCTATCCTTAGGATCATACAGAGTAGGGAATCCATGACTCATCAACAGAGCACGTTAATGACTGGCTTTGGACTCGACTTTCCGGTGAGTTTCAGTTCCACACCAGCTTCCTTTTCCTCCCCAGTATAACCCTACAGGGGACTCTTGCTGCAGAGAGAGCCTTTGACGGAGTTTGTTACATTTTTTTTCAAGTCGTCACCTCGTAACGGGTAAGTGTTTAACTCAAGCATCTTCTAAAATGCTTTTTGATATGCCTTTGTGTATTTTCTTCCTGTCGAAGGCCAATGGGTCGTTACTATGGCAAATGAAACCTCCAGATTTTGTGGCTTATATGAGGAGAAGAAAACGTGCAAATACAAGATCTGAAAGCAATGCTGAATTCTAGATACGACTGTGCACAGCAGTTGAATAAAAAGGGGGAAAGATTGGTCAGACATTAGAGACGGGAAAGAAGTAGGGAGTAAGGATGGGGAAGAAAATTGTCAAAGCCACGTCTACCTAGAAAGGCACAAACAAAATGTATCAATCTTTTGCCTGAAAAAAAATCAAAAATTATCGCTTATTGGTTTGAGGAACATATGAGTATTTATACAATGTATAGGCATTCAGACTTCCAACGGATAAAACCTAATATAATAATACCATGGCTTCTAGCTTTTAATATCTTCTCAGTCAAACTCTGCCAGATCATCAGGGAAAGTTTACCCTGTTCCCCCACTAAGTGGCTTGGATATGCACCTTTGTTCAGACCAGCTAGAATCAAAAGAATACTTTTCATGGGTATTAAATACAGAAGCTGAGCAGGGTTGTGACTCCTACAAAATAGGAACCTTTGCCCTCTCTATCAGTGTTGGAAATGATGAGTTACCCTTATCTTGCCTACCAAAACCCCCTCCATTGTTGCGTTCACTATCTTAAGAAACCTACCTACTCTCTATAGTATTCTATTTTCCAGCCTTCTCTGCAGCTAGTGTAAGTGTGTGACCCAGATCCTTCCAGTCTGGCACCCCTGAGACAAACTTGAACTTCCATGACACCAATAAAGAGTAATAGGCTAAATCAAAGCTACCATGAGCCTGGACTTTCTGATGCTGCAACAAGGGCATGTGAGTGGGTGCTGGAGGGACTGATGGGATTGGAGCGGCTATCATTTGGTACTTATCCATAGTCTAACTTCTTGAGAGAGGAATATTAGTTTTGTCAAGATGCAAGAGCGTCTGTCAGGGAACAATCAAGTATCTTTTAAAAAGTGAATGGCAACTGTGGAATTAATTTCCCCCTCAGGCTTAGGAACCTTACCCAAGAGAAAAATAATAGTCACTAACTGATTTAATTTATATTGATTTTTGTCCACATTTTCACAGGAGATATCTTCATATCCCTCTTGGTGAATATGCCACACAATCGTCTGTGGGTAAAGCAGGAACTGACATTGTTGGGGGTAAGAACAAAATGCTGCTCTAGTGAGCATGTCAACTGTGAGCAGGTTGCCCTCCTTAACACAGGAGACCTGAACCACCTCTGTATACACCACGAACTCTTCAAATGGAGGCAAATCAGTTACAATGGTTTCTGAAGGTGACATAACACCAAAACATAGACTGAGTCTGGACATGGAGAAAAAATATTCTTCTTTTTAACCATCTATCAATTATTACAATTGTAAACTGATGGCATGTCCTAGATGAGATGAGCAAATTGTCAGTACACCCAGAAGAAGCTGCAGACGACACAGCTCTATGAACAGTGGTTGGTTACAAAGGTGCTGTGCTGTCCACACCATCTCACAGACACCCTTCGCCCAGGCAGTCCCATCCACTACGTACTTTGGCTGAGCAATTTGGCATCATCCACTCATACTACTGAATAACAGAGCCAGATTGAGAGTTATACACAAAACATTAAAAATTAGATGAGAAAAGTCCAAAAAAACCAAAACACGCACACACATAAACATACATTTGGGCACAAGGGATCTAGAAATAAATTAAGCAAAGGACCAAGATACACAATGAATTGTGTTTCTATACAATAATAATGAACATGAAGATATTGATCCCCAAAAGAAAAAATACAAATATTAAAGAAACCATATATAGAACTTATAATTTGAAAATGACTGAATGCTGATGAAAAGATCAAATTAGGTTACATCAATGAAAAGACACATTTATGGATTGCAAAGCTCAACATAGTAAACTGTTAGTTCTTCCTAAATTGGCATATGTGTTTGGCAAACACTAGTTGATTTTTAAGATAATGTCTGCTTATAGTCATCAAGATTATGTTTTTTAAATAAGAAAAACAGAGACAAACAGAACAGAACACAAAGTCCAAAACTAGACTCCACAGAGATAGCCAACTGATTTGGGGAATAGGAATTGTTCATTTGTGTTTTGGAAAGGTATCTATGCAGCATAGGGGGCCTCAAACTAATAACCCTGCTTCCTCAAGCAAACCAAGCCATTGCCGGTGTAAATCAGCATGCTTGGTCAGTTGGGTTTTTCATAAAAGAACTCAAAGGAAAGTTTCTCAGAGGAATAATGAACAGTGATCAAGTGAAAATAGGAACAAGGAGCCTTAATAGACTCCCAACTTTTTGAGAAATTAGATGAATATTTAAAAAGCTATGAGATCCAGATGAGTGATCACCAGGAATAACAAGCATCAGTGGGAAAGTTACAGGAAGGGTAGAACTTGAGATGTCTCTGTGCTGACAGAATAGGTCTGTGACTTGATTACTGTTGATAAAACATGACAACATGGCCTAGAACTATACACAGAACATCGTATCACAATGTGTGTCCTCTTCGTAAGTTCTGAAAGCTGTCTCTGTCGTGGTAGAACACCACCTTCCTGCTTCATTCTGGCATTGGTCTTGAGGAAAGTTCCTTTCTAAGAGATAGCTGGAACTCTAAGAATGGTGTCTTTTCCTTTCAGACTGTACAATTAATGACCAGCCTGATAGTGCAGAGCCTGGGATACTTTTGGACATACCTGTATTTTTCTCAAAATATTGCATTTGTAATGGACAGTGAATATATTCCTATCGTTGGAACTTCAGGATACTCACTTTGGGCCTCTTTGCTTGTGAGTAACATCATCGCTATAGTAACTACTAATAATGTATTCATTAGATGTCATAGATTCTGATCCAAACAATATGGCCTAGAGGATACACAATCCCTGTTCCCTAGAAAAAAAATCCCCACGTCTATCTAAAAAGAACAATAGCAATATGTTTTTTAAAATCTTTATTTACTATGAAAATATTTTTTCATAACCATATTCTGCATTGTTAAAGAAACATGTGATACATTATGAAAAAACTAGTTTCTTAGCTGTAATATTACTTAATGAGAGTCTGCATAGTAAGAGGGATATTTGATACATTTAAAGCCATGATAAGAAACACAAATCCACAGTGACAGCTGATCTGAGCTCATGAAAACTCACAGACTCTAGACCGAAAGCTGGGGAATATGCATTGGACTGAATTAGGCCCTCTGCATGTGGCCAACAACTGTGGAGCTTGATCTGTTTGAAGGGGCCCTGGTAAATGAGCTGGCTTTTCGGAGCCCATTCCCTCTGATGGGATACCTTGCTCAGCCTTGATGCAGGATGGAGAGGCTTGGTCCTGCCTCAACTTGATATGCCAGGCTTTGTTGACTCTCCATGGAAGACCTTACTCTTTCTGAGGAGTGGATGGATGTGAGTTGGAATGGGGAGCAAGAGGAGGGGAGGGACGGGGAACTGTGGTTGGTAGGTAAAATGAATAATTTTTTAAAAGACTAAAAATAATAGAAATAAATAAACACAAGTTACAAATATGGAAGACAAAAATCTGTTTGAGTCAAACTAACTATACAAGTGAAATAAATGCTGTAGCCATTTCAAGATGCCCCTGAATCCCATTTCTATCACAACCATAATATTAGTGAATAGGAACTTCAAAGCTTTCGTCTCCATAAATACAAATCTTGAATTATTTCTTGAGTTGTTTTCTTAGTAGTCCCCACTAAGGAACCAAGCTGGTATCCCTCATGTTGCAGAATTCTAGAATTATCTTGAAGCTTATATTTTTACATAGTGACTGGGTATTAACAAATGTGGTGTTTGCTTCCAGTTTAGCCTATCAGGGAGTTTTTCAATAGCATTGCAGAAGAGGCCTTCAAATCACATGGTAAGTCAAAGACTCTGAAAAGTTTCCATTATTAATAAAAGTAGTAAATTTCCAAAGACTAAATAAAAACTTTAAAAAATAAAACAAAGCCAGTGAGGAATCAGCATGGCCTCTGCATGACTGGCTATCTACAAAGAAGCTATGGGGGGGGGGCAGTATTTGAAGTATGAGAAACATAACATGAATCCAAAGAAAGGTGAAGTGGTTAATGTCATCTCAGACAAAAAAAGTACAGAAATAGTACTATTGTCATACACAAATACTCAAGTATTCATGATGAAATAGGCCACTATTCCTTAAGACTTAACAAACCTAAAAATCAAACTATAAGAAGCAAGGCCCTGGGATATGGCTCACTGTCTATGCAAGCAAAAGGACTTGAGTTCAGATCCCCAGAATCCACATCAATGCTGCACACACTAGCAGACATCTGGAATTTGAGTGATTCACAACAAGATAGGAGTAGAGGCAATAGAATTCCCAGACACGCCCAGGATGGCCAGCCTGACATACGCAATTGCAAACAACAAAAAGAGACTCTGTCTCAAAGTAGATGAGGACAGACACCTAACATTGTTTCATTTCCTTTTGTCTAGTGATATTTTCTTATACTTTGAATTTCATAATGCAATTTTATACATGCAATTATACAAATGATTTTATACAGTGTAATTTAATCATATCTATTCTCCATTACCTCCCACTGACTCCTCCTGGAACACCCCACTCAATCTATCTCCCTCCTAACATCATGTCATCATTAATTATTATTATTATTATTATTATTATTATTATTATTATTATTATTATTATTAATCACCCTGAGACCAATTCGTACTCATCATGTGAAGTAATCCAGTGAGGTATGGGCAATCTGCCAGAAGTCACATCTCCAAAGAAAAGTGACTCTCACTCCCTCAGCAGCCACCAACTGTCAATAGTTCCTCAGCTATGGGTGAAATCTTGGGAGCTCTTCTCCCAATTTGAGAATGCTGACTGGCTTTTTCTTGTATAGTTCTTATACAGGCAACCACAGCTGCTCTAAGTTGATAAAAAAAAAAAAAAGCAAAAACCGTGTCACATCTAGACGATAGCAATTCTCTTTCTCCTTATCCTGTAGCTTTTATATTCTTTCTTCTCCCTTTTACAATATGTCTCCTAGGTGCCCTAGGTAGGAAGAGGTTCACAGAGGTAGCTCATCTATGACTGAGTGCTCACAACTATTTATCTCAATATCTTCACCAGTTATGAGCCTCTGCATTAACCATGACCGGCTACAAAAAAAACCTCTCTGACCAAGTCAGCACTAAGCTATGGGCATAACCATGAATATTTAGAAGGCAGCTTGACAACACAAACATTTAATAAAGGAAAATCAGTAGGTTTCCTCTATGGCCTGTGATATCTCCAGATACGATGATGTTTACAGTACCAAATGTGGAATCCATCGTGTGGAATAGGCCTCAAAACCAATCAGAAAGCAGTTGGCTCCTCCCACACTAGTCATGCCACTGTTGCACCAGTGAGCATAACGTGCCTGGCAGGTTGGTATTATAGCATGCAATGCCCAGCGCTAAGTAAGCCCACTGATATCTTTGCTCCATTACTACACAGTGTGTAACACCGTTCAGTACTCTGAAAGCTAGCCTTTAGGGAGTCAGCTTCCTGGGAAGTTTGAGGTAAAATTCTTCATAGACTTCACTGGTTTGCTTTCTACAAAGGAGACTTTTCCCTAGAGAATAAATGAACTGACATCAATGAACAACATATAACAGTTTACATGAAGGGTTTTGTTCTTTGAGATAGGTTTCAGGATCTAGTGATTCAAATTGTCATGCTTGCTATCTAGCTTTATTAACTAGGAAGAAATTATTGTGAGTATGGACAAGGAAATAGGTATAATAGTTATTCTTCTTAATAGCAACATTAAATAATATATCTCCTGGCATATGTAGATAAAACACAATTATTCAGCAACATTATAAAGCATGAATAGTCTGAAGTATGTAGTCTGACAAACATGCATACATGCTGCCTGGGTGATGACCTCCAACCATGTGTAACTCTGTACATCATCAAGAAAATCTCTTCATATTGCGCTAGATAGAATCTGTATGCCCAAGAAAATTCCCCAAATTTTGCTTTCCTGATGTCCAAGAACGATAGAAATCTCCTAGAGTATTAGCTCTCTGGCAATGTAAAGCCGTGCAGTATTGTGAATTTGTCAATATCATGGGTATATTTTATATTTGATTTACAATTAATATGCACTTGATTTTTTTCCATATTTTAAAAAATATCTAATGCACTTTTTTCTGTCCCTTTATCCACTAACTCAGCAGAGAATAAACATTGAGTCCGTTACCAGTAGAGAATAAGTACCTGCACATTATATCAAAAGTTTTATTATCCCCAAAATTGTTTGGTCCTACTAGGAGCCTAACCAATCTATAGTTCTAACAACCTTTTTGGTGCTCTCACTATGCCAGAAAGATTAGAATTTCTATAGTTCTATAAGAATACACTTGCAGAGAGGACTATGGAATAGCTTTCAATGACTGGACAATACTTTTTTAATCTGTTCTAGCTGATCTGGACTATGACAATGAACATCTTAAGCATCGTTGCAACACTAATAGGTGTGTTTTTAATAATACTTGAACTGATGATGACTTCAGGTATACAATCTTCTTTGTGGCAATACGTAAGTACTGGGTTTCTAAGAGAATGTCTTCATAATTTTAGAATTAAGCCTTCAGTGAGGATCAAAGTAGTCAAATATCAATCAAATTACCAGAAGTCCTCTCATAAGTTTACTCTCAGGCATATGTGCCTATTATTAGTGTGATATGCTACATGTTACAGTTCAAAGCCTGCATGATCAAATAAAATCTCACAAATATTAATACAGATATTTTATAGATGAAGCATTATAGTCAATCCTGATTCTTCCTGGTTGCTATGAGACATTTATGAGTGGCAGCTTGTTCTTCCTATGTACCTTAAGACAAGTTTTTCCTAGGGTTTAAAAGATCAAATTTGCTAGAGTAAGACTTTCTTCTTCCAAGAATGAAATGACATCCATATGGACTTATATTACCCATATGTTCATGGTCAATGAACATGCTGTAGTAGAGAGCCTTCATCCAGGAACTGATGGAAACAGATTCAAAGATCCACAACCAAGCATTAGACCAAGTTTGGGAAATCCTGCTGAAGAGAGGGAGGAAGGATTATAGGAGCCAGTGAGTCAAGGGCATCACAAGAAAACCCACAAAAACAACTAACCAGTCTCATAGGAACACACAGAATCTAAACCAACAAACAGGGAGTGTGCATGGACAAACTTACGCCCTCTAATACATATGACAGTTGTGTAACTAGGTCTATTTGTGGTACTCCTAACAATGGGAGCAAGTGCTGTCCCTAATGCTTTGGCTGGCTCTTGGAAACCTATTCCTCATCCTGGATTGCCTTGCCCAACCTAAATACAAGTGGAAGTGCCTTGCATTACAGCAACTTGATATGTCATGGGAGGCCTGTCCCTTTCTGAACAAAAACAGAAGAGAGGTAGATTGAGGGGTAGGAAGATTTGGTGAAGAGAATAGGAAGATAGGATAGAGGGGAAATGTGATCAGGGTATAAAATAAATTAATTTTAAAAATAAGAAAGTGCTGCAGTCTGCAGACTGAAGCTTACCTCGACAACGGATGTAATTTGGAAAGCTCATTTACTCTGCTCTATGTGCACTATGCCATGGGGACATTGTGTGTTTCTGCATCTGCTAGAGGGTCCATGCAGAACTATTTTAGGCTGTTTATGTTTGTGTATCTGTGGTCCTGTGCAGGTGGCACTATGAACTTAGGCACACTTAGCCATTTAGGTTTGTTGGTGTGAAGAGAAAGGATGATGAAAACAGAGAAAGAAGGAAGAGATTCTGAGGAAATTTTGTAAGAATTTGAAGCCATGGTGTTGAATCTTGTCTGTGGACTACTATCCTTCTAGTCTATGCCCAGAGCTTAACAAAAGGAACCAAAACAGCTGGGCTCTAAACCAATACCTAGAAACCATAACTTTAAATTGATACCATTAGATGTTACTTATATCTAACTTCCTAATCTTATTAAGAAAGCGCTCTTTACTTCAACATACAAGAGTTATGGTTAATAGACTAGATCCAAACTATATATATGTTTGTAATTCATCATTCCATTTTTCTTATTTCTATGTATTATTGAGGAAACATTACAATAAATAAATACAGATATAGATAAAAGCCTATGTATCTCTAATTCAATAAACAATGAATGTTTAGCTATTTTATTAATGTCATGGGTCTAGTCACCTGAAGAGCATTTATGCTGATCAAAGCTAAATTCCAAGTCACTCACCACAGTAAATAGAGTCTTAACAAAAATCAAGTGAGTGACAAATGAGAGGATCACTTTATTGATGTAAGAAGTACATTTCTTTAGCATAATTTACTAGATGATAGGGAAAAGTGTAATTGTATGTACTTTCTTTTAAAGAAGTCCTATTACACCAAACCTCAAAAGAAAATATATCCCAATTTTATCTTCTCCAGAGGCTCATTATCCTTAAGAAAATATACTTGTTCTACCCACAACAACAAAAAGAATATACAACGATTCCCATTATTCTCTTAGCAGAAATGTATCAATTCACCATCCTCAATAGCTATCAATTATCATATAATCAAATATATGCATAAATTTTCAACTATTGAGGGAATGGGATACAGGAAACTGGTTATCTTCTCATGTTTTTCTCCTTCCTACAACATAGCTATACCTCTGTGAGTTTTATAACATTGAAAAGTAGAGTTTAGGAAGCATTCTAGTTTGCTTTCTGCTGCAGTAATAAGACACTAACCAAAATCAACTTACGAAAGGACAAAGTTGATTTCAGCCCACACTTTCAGGTCACAGTCCATCCCTGAGAGCCGTCAGGGAAGAAGCTCAAGCAGGAACTGGCACTATAAAACTGCTGGGGACATTGCTTACCGACTCACTCTCAGACTCTCTGTCTTGCTCCGTGTTAGCTTTCTTATTCAACCTACACTCCCCTGCCTGGGGATGATGAGATCCACAGTGGTTTGGACCCTGCCACATCAGTCATCAGCCAAAACAATTCCTCAGAGTCATGGCCTCCTTTATCAGATATCTGGAGGTTGTATTTAGCTGACAATAAAAGCTGACAAGCATGGGAACCTTCCTCCTTTGCTATTTCATGAAATTACTATTGAGTTCTGTTGTTAATTCTTCTTTCGAGTTCTGGGAGAATTCCATGGTTAATCCTGGGTGTTTCTTAGGAGATATTTTATTGCCTCTTTAGTCTCGTTTCTGGAGATGTTTCAACTCTTTCATTCATTATGATTTAATTTTGATAGATATGTTGAATGTGTCTAGACATTCCTCCATTACTTGAGGTATTGTAAGCTTGTGAAATATAGGCTCTTACAGCATGTCTTTCTGAATTCCAAATTTTGTTGGAAAGTCTTATAATGTCTCTCTTTTTATTTCTGATTTATTACATATTCTCTGTAGAAGGAGCTGTGGGCAGGCCTGCTTTTCATCCCGCCCAGCTTTCATATGGCTAGCTTAGCCCCAGAAATAACAACACACAAACTGTATTCATTTAAACACTGCTTGGCCCATTAGTTACAGCCTCTTATTGGTTAATTCTCACATCTTGCTTTAACCCATATTTAGTAATCTGTTTAGCACCACCGGGAAAGATCTTAACCTGCATCCATCTCGGAGAGGAGAGCTATGGTGTCTGCCTCACTGCTTTCTTCCTCCCAGCATTCTTTTCTGTTTACTCTGCCTACCTAATTTTCTGTCCTATCAAAGGGTCAAGGCAGTTTCTTTATTAACCAATAAAAGTAACATATAGACAGATGACCCTCCTCCATCAATTCTCTATCTTTCCTTTACTTTATTCAGCTAAGAGTTTATCAATCGTTTTATTTTGAAGAACCAACTCTTCATTATATTGATTCTTTGTATTGGTTTTTGATTATTTGTTTTATTTCCTTAATTTTATTTCCTTGTTTCCTGATTTTGGTTATTCCTACCTACTGTTTTGGAATTTGCTGTGTTCTTGCTCCTTCCAAGGCTTCAAGGTGAATTATTGAATTGTTAACTTGAAATGCCTTTTTGATGTAGGCATCAAGTGCTCTAAACCTTCCTTTCAGGTTGTCATCAGCATGGCCCATTGATTTTCGTCTGTCATGTTTTTATTTTCAGAAAGTTCTAGGAATGGTTTTTACTTCCTTCTTGGTCTCTTCAGTAGCACAATTATTCAATAATATGCAGTCTAAGCTCCATGAGTTGATATAGTTCTTATGGTTTTTTTGTTTTTTGGAGTTTTTGGCTTTTATTTTGGCTTGGTTTTGATTGGTTTTTCAATATAGGGTATCTGTGTAGCTTTGGCGCCTGTCCTGGAACTTGCCCTGTGGATTCAAACTCACAGAGATTCAACAACCTTGCCTCCCGAGTGTTGGGATTAAAGGAGTAGCTCTTCCTGTAGTGTTTTGTTTTCTGTTGATATCTAGTTTTATCCCCTTGTGGTCAGATAAAACTCAGAACTTAATTTCAATTTTCTTATGCTTGTTTAAACTTGTTTTGTGTCTCAATATGTGATAGATTTTGCATAAAGTTCTATAGGCTGCTTAGAAAATGAATGTATATTTAGTGTTTGAATAAGAGGTTCCATAGCTGTTAGGTTTAACATCTCACCAGCCCCAAGGCACAAGAATCATTACAGAAGAATTAGAATATGAGAGCTGAAGGATGGCTGGGAATGCTGCAATGCCATCTTCTGGGAATGATATGGCTGTCATTATAGAGAACTCTGTGCTTACCTGCACAAAATCTCTACAATATCAAGCCAGTTAAAATTCTGGCATAGACATGGTAAATGAACACCAGACCCCAGCCCTTTCTAAGGAGCTATTAGAAGCAGATAATTGCTGTGGGAAGAATCATACTTCTGTAAGGATTTGGCCACTAGTCCACTAGATGGCTCCACACATATGCATATATGGGCTATAAAAAAAAGACTTGAAATTGTGAGGGGAAACTGGGGGTTGAACCAAGAGTTGGAGGGGAAAAATGGGAGTGGATAATATTGTATTTCATTGTATACCTATTCTCAAAAATAAAGAAATTACTAAGTAAAGACTGTATTTTTCTTTTGGGGTACAGAGAAGTGGTAGGATGCTTACAGGATATCTCTTCCTGTTCACTGTCTTGGAGATGTTCATGGCATGCATAGTAACTGAGTGGACCTACAGAGCAAGACAAACAGAAGATTAAAATGGTGAGTCTATCATTTCTCCTTCGGTGAACAGAAGCTACTAACTTCTGTGATATATCCTGCTCAAATTACTTGGAAAGAATTAAGCATCAGTAATGTCATCTCTAACCTGTGGTTAGTGGTAGGTCAGTACATTTTTGTAAAACTATTTGGCACTAAACAGCTCTTCCTATCACTGAAGATAAATAAATTACTCCACATGAAGAGAGTAAGGCTGAGAATGTTGCTCAGCAGTAGAAAACTTACATAGCATTAGTGAGACTCTGATCACCAGAAGAAACACATAAGAAGAAGTCAGGTGGGTAACCTAGGGTGGAGTGCAGTGACAGAGACTCTGGTGCTGGCTTTCATATTCAGCTCTGCTTGATTAGACAACCGTAGTCCCACCATCCAGCTGCACAAAAACTGTCACCAGCGCCACCACTTGATTCTTAGTCCATAAATATGCCTTGTTCTGTGGACCATCTAAATCTGTAAATGGAATTCCTTAAGTAATCTCTGTTTGAAATTAATATGAGAGAAAAAAAAGAAATTAATGTGAGAAAATTAAAAAGGGAGAAGGCATTATCAGATGAATTCTTCTAGGATTATCCACTTTATCTTGCCTCAGAAGCTACCTCTCAAGGTACCTATATCTCAATATCTATTTGTGTTTCAATAAATTTTCCTTAGCTAATGTAGTGAGATATGGAATTGAAATTCATCAAAAAAGAATAACACTAATAAACTTTAAAATTATATGGCTGGAACTAGAGTGATGACTCAATAGTTAAGAGCACTTGATGCTCTTGCAACGGACCAAGAACCCACGTGTTGACTTAAAGCCATCCATAATTCCAGCCCCAGGGAATCCAACAACTCTGCTCTGGCTTCTGTGGGTACCAGAAACATGCATGGTGCATGGGTATGCATTCAAGCAAAACACTCATACACATATATAAAACTTTTTAAAGGTATATGTGACTCTTCTTAAAAGGAAAACACAGAATTCTCCGAACAAAGGGATGAGAGAAAAAGAATAAATTGAAATAGTTTTTTTCTCATACTAATAAAATATAAATGGAGAGAAGCAGAATATATAGGAGAGGCAAAGGGGAGGAAGGGAAATAAATAACAGGAGGAAAATAAGAGAAAATTATTTAAAACTAAGATTTAAAAAAAAAAACATGATTTGGTCTGGGAAGTTTATCTCAGGTGAATCCATTGCTGGAATGTTTAAGGCTCTCTGGATTCCAGGGCCAACACAAAAGAAGAAACAAAAAGGCAGTTCATGATCTTATTAAGAGTCTCAGTGATAAGACTATTCCCTATTAGAGCTCTTTAAAGTGCTGTTGAACTTATATAATTATCTTAGATGACATTAATGAGTGATTTCCTGCCATCTGCCTTACCACAGGTTCATAGAAGAAAACGAACCTTTTCCTAGAAGTATCATGGCCTCAGTCAAGGAGGAAAGTTCAATGATGAATGAGAACTTCATTTTGTTCAAGAGACCTCTCAGAAACAGAATTTAATTGTCTGCCTCAGTAATTCCTCTCCTCCATTTCAATAATAAAAAAAACAGCAATTAATATGTGGGAAGTGAAGTGTGAATTGATTTCACTGTTGTAAATTAATCCAGAATTGAATCTGGTCAGCCGGAGTTAAAAGATTCTTCTGAGACCAAGGAATCTAATGAATGGGCACGAATTTTCTAGCATGGACTCTACACCTAATGTTGATGAAGTGAAGTAATGCTGACTCAAAGCCGTTTTGTAATGAAAAGATAGACAAGCCAATTCATCATCAGTGGGGCAGACTAGACTAGCTCTAACACCAAACATCTATCTAACCAGCTATTGTTAAATGATGCAGAATTTATCTGTAGTGTATAATATAGATAGACTATTAGATATACATTTATATAAGTGAGACTACTTGATGTCCATGGAAATCTTTACTAGAAAGTCCGTTTTCTGAAATATTTTATTCTTTTTCCCACAGCTTTTCTCTTTGACGTATTATACTTAAATTTTATGAATTTTAGATCAATTGCCTTTCCACAATATTCTACTGAGTCTCTAAAAACCTTTTGTGTTGGTTATCTTTCTGTTTCTGTGACCAAATGCCTGAGGAAAACAGCTTCTAAAAAAAAGAAAAGTTTATTTGGACCCCCACTTTCAGAGACTGTGGTTCATGCTTGGCTGGATCTAGTTCTTTTGGGGTTTTGACAAATCAGCACCATGATGAGGAGATTGGGGCAGAGAAAAGCTGCTTACTTCATAGAAGCCAGAGGGAGGGGAAGAGGGAGAGAGACGGGGAGGGGATGAAGAGGGAGGAGGAGAGAAGGAGGGGGACAGGGGTGAGGAAGAGGAGAGAGAAATGTGGAGAAGAAGAGGAAAGGGAGAGAGGAAAAGGAGGGGGAGGGATGAAGAAAGAGAAAGGAGAAAAGGTGGGAGAGAAGAAGAAAAAGAAAGGGAAGAAGAGAGAGGGAGAGGAAATGGGGAAGGAGGGGAAGAGAGAAATATGGAGAGAGAGGGAGGAAGGGGAGAGATGAATGTGGAAAGGAAGAGGGAAGGGGAGAGAGAGAGGGAGAAAGAGGAAAGAGAGAGAGGAAGGGAAGGGAAGGAGTAAAGAAACTAAGTGAGGGAAGAGACCATGAAGAGAGGGAAAGAGGGAAGGGGAGCCAGAGGGAGGGGAGAAAAAAGGAGGCGGAGAGAGGGAGGGGAGATAAAGAAAGGGAGAGGAAGAGAGAGAACAACAGCAACCAGAGAGTCACCACCTCACAATCACCACAGATTGGAACCAAGTCATTAACTTGTGGACCCCTGAAGAACACTTGAAACCTAAACCAAGCCTCTTCCCTCCTTCCTTGTCTTTTGAACCCCGTAACTGGCTCCCATTTCCCTGTCTTCATAAACAAGTGATCAATATTGCAAAAGATTCATATTTTATATGCAAGTGCCCCTATGAATATCTGTGGCATTTTATTATATCTGTAATTCACATAGATCATACACGCACACACACATTTGCACATACACATGCACGCACATGCACACCTTTTTCCTCCTAGTAGTATGATTTTTAAAATCCACTCATGTTGCTATTTATATATCAGTTGATTTTAAATACTGCCTGATGGCCTGTAGCATCTATGACAGCACATTCATACATTCCTTCTTCCAGGAATGGGGAGGTGGGTTACATTTTTCTCCCCTTGAATAATGTCTTTGGGACATGCATTCTTCACCAGGGTACCTGATGTACATATGTATACCCAACATACACAAACACACACACACACACACACACACACACACACACACACACACCGTTTTCTTAAGCAGAACAAAAAGCACCACCATTTATGGCATTTCTCCATTGCCGGCTACTTGATGTTGCACACTTTTATCTACAATGTACTCTGTATTCTCTTGGTCTCTTCTCTTCTCCTCTCTTCTCTTCTCTTCTCTTCTCTTCTCTCTCTCTCTCTCTCTCTCCCTCCCTCTCCTCTCCTCTCCTCTCCTCTTCTCTTCTCTTCTCTCTCTCTCTCTCTCTCTCTCTCTCTCTCTCTCTCTCTCTCGGTCTCTTAAGGGCTCCCAGATTCTGATACCTAACAGTGTTGCTTCCAATAGTCAAAAGCCTTTTTCTTTTTGCCATTGCTGAGAAATGGAGTTCACGTGAGCAGTAAGTACTCATCTACCCTGTGCTCCTGGTGAACTGGAAACCACAGTTCTGAGAGAGAGCGGGAAACACAGATGTAACAAGAAGAAATACAGAATGAGGAATTAGATTCAAATATGTGGAGGAAAGGAATAATAGCTGAAATGAAGTTCATAACCCATGCAAGGAAATGAGCTTCATTACAGAGAAATGCAGACACTAGCAAATAGAACTCTGGACTCTTAGTGAGCAAGAAAGTACTGAATCGTGTATGAATACATACACAGGGGAGAGATGACGGAAGAACGGAAAGGCCTTTGGTTTGCCTGTCAAACAAATAGAAAACCATCTAAAGGGGGGAGTGAGAAGATGGCTCGATAGATAAAGTGCTTGCCACACAAGCATGGGTACCTCTTTTTGAATCCTCAGTGCCCACAGAAAGCCAGATGTGGTAGCAAACACATCTATCGTACTCCCTCTCATGTGAGGAGACTGGGTGACAAAGACAAGAGCATTCCCAGAACCCAACTGCTAATTGTTCGGTTATTTGCAACTGAGGTTGTGTTGTGGTTTGAATGTGAAATGTCCCCCAATGGCTCATATGTTTGAGGTTTCACAGCCTGGCCACATTTCTTGTTCTCCTGACTTCCAGATGGAACTCAGGCTTCTGCTACCATGCCATCGTTACCGCGACGGATTCTATCCTTCGGAATTGTAAGTTAAAACAAAAAGTTTCTTTTGTGAGGGACCTTTCTCACAGCAAACAAAATGAAACTAAAATAGGCTGTTCTGAATAATAATGGATAATGCGACTATTTATGGACAATTTTTATGGAGTTACTTTTTTTGTTTTTTTTTATTGAGAAAAGGAGAGAAAAAAAAACAAGTTTCCACCTCCTCCCAGCCTCCCCTTTCCCTCCCCCTCCTCCCACCCTACGCCCCCTCCTCCCACCCTTCTCCCCCTCCCCCCACTCCTTTCCCCCTCCCTCTCCAGTCCAAAGAGCAGTCAGGGTTTTCTGCCCTGTGGTAAGACCTAGGACCTCCCACCTCCGTCCATATCTAGGAAGGTGAACATCCAAACTGGCTAGGCTCCCACAAAGCCATCACATTACGTAGGATCAAACCCCCGTGCCATTGTCCTTTGGCGTCTCATCAGCCCTCATTGTTCAGAGAGTCCAAAAAGATGAACATGGGATGTACTCACTCATAATTGGTTTCTAGCCATAAATAAGGGTCACGGAGTCTACAATAGGTGAATCTAAAGAAGCTAAGTAAGAATGGGAACCCAAGGAAAAACATATAGTTATCCTCTTGGCTAAGGGAAGTAGACAAAATTGCCAGGGAGAAAATTGGG